CCTGGGTTTCTGACACCAGTACCCAGTGGGAGAAGTTCCCAGACATTCTTGTTTCATAGCATAGTGTCGCCATAACTTTTTCACATTGACTGTAGGCCAAAAGAATGCCTAAAAATTCTATTTTTTAAGCAGTTGTATCCAAGCAATTTACTATGTCCTAACAACTTAGAAGCCATTTGAAAAAAACTAATTCAAATACACTGAAAGAAAAAATACTCTTTTTTTTTTTTTTTGAGACAGAGTCTTGCTCTTATCTCCCAGGCTGGAGTGCAATGGCACAGTCTAGGTTCACTGCAACCTCCACCTCCCAGCTTCAAGTGATTCTCCTGACTCAGCCTCCTGAGTAGCTGGTACTATAGGCACCTGCCACCATACCTGGCTAATTTTGGTATTTTTAATAGAGACAGGGTTTCACGATGTTGGCTAAGATGGTCTCAAACCCCTGACCTGGTGATCGGCTTGCCCTGGCCTCCAAAAGTGCTGGGATTACAGGCGTGAGCCACTGTGCCTGACCTCTTATTTCTATTCTTGGGTAACCACAGTCACTTACTAGTAAGATGTGTGCACTGCACAGCTTCTCAAAGCTTGGGAGCACACTGAGCAATAGTACTGTCATTTACTTGCATTTTATCAGAGCAATCATTGAAAACCCAGCTTTGCAAAGTTGTGAAATCATTGAAGAGATTGTAACAAGATCTAAAGTTTGAACTCCAAACTACCTCAAGCTAGTAGTCTGACAACTGTCAAAGTATCACTGAATTTTCTTTGAATAAGTAAAATTTATTGGGGTATCCTGTGGTGCCTGGGTGCATAGTTTGGGAACCACATCTGTAGGGCAACTATACTAGCTCTGGACTGCTTATATAAGAGAAAAATAAACTTCTGTTGTCTTTAAACCTCTGTGATTTCAGAGCTTTAAGAGCAGTTAGTCCCAGCACTTTGGGAGGCCGAGGCGGGTGACTCACGAGGTCAAGAGATCAAGACCATCCTGGTCAACATGGTGAAACCCCGTCTCTACTAAAAATACAAAAAATTAGCTGGGCATGGTGGCGCGTGCCTGTAATCCCAGCTACTCAGGGGGCTGAGGCAGGAGAATTGCCTGAACCCAGGAGGCGGAGGTTGCGGTGAGCCGAGATCGCACCATTGCGCTCCAGCCTGGGTAAGGAGCGAAACTCCGTCTCAAAAAAAAAAAAAAAAAAAAGAGCAGTTAGATACCACACCCATCTTATCTAATAAAAGGTTTAAACTATTAAGACAAAAGTGAAAAGGTGACTAGGCAGTTTAACTTGAAAGTTGTACATATACACAGACACCCCCACCCCTGCCCTGCAATCACCTTCTGTTCCCCCAGGCTGGTCCTCAAGTTGTGTATCTTTTCCTCTCATTTCCTTCCTTCTGCCTCATAATTTGTTCCATTTCACTAGCTGCTGGCTCGCAGGGCAGCTGCTCTCCATGATCCCATGGACTTTCTCTTCCAGAGACCCCTGTGTCTCTGGCCAAGCTGTGCCTTGCTAAAGGGACTGTAGTTGCTGTGTGGCAAACCCTGAGGCACTAGGACCAGCTTTTCTCCCCTCACCACCCATATGCCTTTCTAACTTAAGGAAAAAAATTCCATTCACCTTCAGGGAGCAATTCAAGATGTGAGCTATGAAGCAAAGCTTTTGGTTCCATGATAGGTTGAGTCCTCTAAACTACTTAAGAGGTACATTTTAAAATGAAGAAAGAAAGAATTTTAATTATAAAGAACTAGTCAGGTATGAAAATCATTTATCCTTCGACAAGCACCTAAAGCCAAACTCTCTGGGGTGCCCAACAGCCCGTGAGCTTGGAAGAGAAGTTGTTTCCTTCCCAAAGCTCACCTTTGAAAGTGAAGATGCTGCTCTAATATTACTTCTACTGGCCAGAGAGGAGTCTATGGAGTCTACAAAACTAGGGGAAACCAGAGCCCTGAGATGTTGATTCCCTTCTAACTCCTACAGAGAAGTTTTCTCTCCATGTCTTTGTTTGAAACAGACTCACTCTGTCACCTAAGCTGGAATGCAGTGGTGAGATCATGGCTCACTGCAGCCTTGACTTCGTGGGCTCAAGCAGTTCTCCCACCTCAGCCACTAGAGTAGCTGGGACTACAGGCATACATCACCATGCCCAGATAATTTTTAAAATTCTTCGTAGTGATGGGTTTTTACCATGTTGCTTAGACTGATCTTAAACTCCTAACCATCCTCTTGCCTGGACCTCCCACAGTGCTGGTATTATAGATGGGAGCCACTGCACCCAGCCCCCTCCAAGTCTTAAGGTAAACTGTAGCCACTTTCCTCTTGAGGTAAAGCAGACCTGGTCTTTTCCAGTTGAATTCTTCCAACATTATTGAGTAGTTAGAAATTCAAGTGCGATAGCAATCCATTCCCTCTGATGCTGGCTATTAAGGCCAAAAGGGGTATTTCAAATGCTCTCAGATGTGTCAGCTTCTGTGCGGAGTTGAGTCTAGCAGAGGGTGTTTTATTTATGTGGTTCTAGAGGGAGGGCATTTTTAGTAACTGAAATAGTTGAAAATCCTACTCTGAATCACTTCCCTAAGCCCCTTTTGTTTTAGTGCCATTCTTTGTTAAAGCATAAGTCAGATTACTGGCTTCTTTTGAGCAGAGACTGCAACAGATCAGGCCTGTCTCCCTAAGCCAGATCCATGTGATCATTGCCTTTGATCTGACAGCTACCAGCAGGAGTGTAGATAGTGCTGGTGATGTGGTTTTCCCCTGCTCAGTGATCCCCTGCTTATACCTGACTAGCTCTCCCCAACCCCAACCCCAATTTTTGGTGTTTATTCCAAGAATGGAAACCTATTTAAATATCCAACTAAGCAGATATCAAAGGGGAAAGAAAGTACACTTTTGAAAAAAAGGTATGATGACATGTTTCAAACTCAAGCCCTTTTTTCTTCGGCATCCTGTCCACATGGCTAGTGTGCAATCCATGGCTTGCTTACTGGTCTCCCTTCCTCCCCGGAGCCTGAGCTCTATGAGAGCAGGAAGCATGGCTTGGCTAGTGCCCGCCTGATGCTCACCTCTTGGTGCATGATCAGTAAATGCTCGTTTGACATGAGTTTTCTGCTCACTGGCATGGCTTAATGAAAGCTAAAGAAACAGAGCAATGTAAGTGATGCTCAGCTCAGCCTCCCCACCCCCGCCTCACTTCTCCTTTTTTATTCCTTCCCCTGATGTCCTCAGAAGCACCATCAGCTTCCATAAATTAGGGGAATAAATAACTAAAGGTGCCACTCTTGACCACATTCTGAGATTTCACCTGGACCTTTGTTTTTTTGTTTTGTTGATTTCTGGGGTGTGTGTGTGTGTGTGTGTGTGTGTGTGTGATCAGGATTTTGCTCTGTCAGCCAGGCTAGAGTGCAGTGGTGTGCTCATAGCTCATTATAGCCTCAATCTCCTGGGTTTAAGCAATCATCCCACCTCAGCCCCCAGTGTAACTGGGACTACAGGCCTACTTTACCTCTCCTGGGGAATTTTCAAATGTATTATTATTTTTTGTAGCAATGGGGTCTTGCTGTATTGCCCACACTGGTCTTGAACTCCTTGGTTCAAACAATCCTCCTGCCTCGGCCTCCCAAAGTGCTGTTATTACAGGTGTGAGCCACCGTGCCTGGCCTGATCTGGACCTTTGGCTATCAAGTGTGAGCACAGAGCCATTCAAGGGACGGTGGGCAGGAAACCTTGCACCATTTGTTGGTGGCACTGCGAGGACTCAAAATGGTGTCTCCCTTTGACTACTGTGGTAGATGTCGGTAATATTCTCCTTTACCTCCTAGTACACAGAGAAATATCTTTTCTGCCCTTTTGAAGTTACATGTAACTGTGTAACTTGCATTGACACAAGAATTAAAAGCTGGTATGCGATTTTCCACACTTTCCCCTAGTCATGGTTGTCGGAGCAGTGCATATAGGTATGCACTTTTTTAGACAGAGGTGCCACAAAAGTAAAGATTCCTGAATCACTGAGCTGTCACCTGAGGAGAGTCACCCAGATCCCCAATGAGCTTTGCATGTGCAAGACATAAATATTTGTTGTTTTAAGCCACTGTGAGTTTTGGATATTGTTTATTGCTAACAAATCTCTTGGCCTATCCTGACTGATTACTACCTTCTATACTTTGCTTAGTCTGTCCATATTTCAATTGCTTATTAATCACAGGTTGCCCTGTGAAAGCAAGTCAGGCTAGTGGTTCTTATGGTCTTTAACAAATGTGATGGCAACATATTACTTTCAAAATGGTTCAAAGACTTCACTTAGGAAATGTGCCAGAGGGGAGCTATTGCTTTCCTTCATCCCCCTTTATTATACCCTCTCCTCCCACTTTTTTTCCTCAGATATCTGGGTCTTCCCACACATGGTGGCCTGGGACACCTCATGTGGGATCTATTGATTTTGGCCTCCACAACTCCAGAATCAACCTTCTCTGCTTCTCCACATCTCATGTGGGCTGCCTCCACCTCACCACACTCTTTTCAGCTGGGTGTTACAGAGGTGCCAGGAAATGACTAATTCCTAGCCCTTGTGAAGTCAAAGCCCACAGACAACAAACTGCTCTCCATTCATGGACACGTTTCTCTGAATGTGCAAGAGAGATCTAATTCTCAATGGCTGCCTGGCATTGGTTAGTTCTGAACTTATAGGCACTTTCACTGGTAAAATTACTGAGATGATAATCATGAAGCTTACTGAACAAAACATGACTAAGTTAACTTGTGGTCAGTCAACAATTCAATCCAAGGATACTGACACTGTCTCCCACAGTTGGCTTGACTCCAACAGGGAAATGCATGAATAACAAGTGAGACTGAGCACTGCCTTTGGATGAATGCTCTACGGTTGCCAACATAGGAGAACAGTGAATTTTCAATGTAACATGATAATGACATGGGTTTATTCTCATTTCTGCCTCATGCTGAGTCCTTACTCTAGAAAATCACAGTTCTTTTTTTGTTTTTCAGATGGAGTTTCACTCTGTTATCCAGGCTTGAGTGAAGTGGTGTAATCTCAACTCACTGCAACCTCCACCTCCCAGGTTCAAGCGATTTTCATGCCTCAGCCTCCCAAGTAGCTAGGATTATAGGTATGTGCTACCATGCCTGGCTAATTTTTGTATTTTTAGTAGAGACAGGATTTTGTTGTGTTGGCCAGGCTGGTCTCAAATCCCTGACCTCAAGTGATTCACCTGCCTCTGTCTCAGCCTCCCAAACTACTGGGATTACAGGTGTGAGTCACTGTGCCTGGCCCCACAAATATATTCTTTATACTCAGCTGCTCTATGAAAGAAATTCTAAGTGATCTACCTCAGGAATACAGGTAGTAGGTGAAAGTTGCAATTTGCTCTGGAAGGAATTTTAATCACAGAAATTTTAATTTACATTAAATCATTAATATGTTTTTCTGTAATTCACTGTATAAGAAATCTTTTCTTCAGAACCTAATGGGACTCCAAAGTAAAAATAAAAATAAGTATTTCTTGACTGATCCTAGAGATTGGATTCGGGAGAAACTACAACAAGTTAAGAATAGAGTCTGGGCCTTAATAAATTGATATACCATGATATACCAGATATACCATGTTCATAGATTGGAAGATTGAAGATTGAATATTGTTAAGATAATAATTCTCCACAAAATTATCGATAGATTCAACTCATTACCAATCAAAATCTCAGCAGTATTTTTTGTAGAAATTGATGATCATGTTCTAAAATGTATATGAAAATGCAAAGAACCCAGAAGAGCCAAAACAAATTTGAGAAAGATGAGTGAACATGGAACACTTATATGACCTGATTTCAAGACTTAAAACAAAACTATAGTAATCCAGAGAGAGTGGTGTTGGTAAAAGGATAGACAGATAGACCATTGAAAAGACTCTATTCTTAACCTAGGCCCATTCATATATTGTTAATTGATTTTGGCAAAGGGCTAAGATAATTTCATAGGGAAGGTATATTTCCTTATGAAATATTTCTATATATATTTCTCAAAAAATAGTATAGAAACAATTGGATATCTACATGGGAAAGAAATGAATTTCAGTCCTCACCTATTAAACAAAACTCAACTTGAAGTGGATCACAGACCTAATCATAAGAGTTAAAACTATAAAATTTAAAGAAAAGATAAGAAATCCTTGTGATCTTTAATTAGGCAAAGATTTCCTAGATAAGCAACAGAAGCATGAGACATAAAACAGATACATTGCCATAAAAGAGCCATAAAATGATAAGAAAATTGTTTCATGTTCATACAAAGAGACACTACTCAGCATTACCAAGGAATAAACTGCAGATACATGCAACAATATGGTAATCTCAAAAGCACAATACTAAGTGAAAGATGGCAAATGCAAAAGATTGCATGCTATATTATTTCATTTACATGAAAGCTTAGAAAAAGCAAAACCTTAATGTTAGAAAGCAGATCAATCTTTGCATGGAACCAGGGCAAGGGCCTAACTGCAAAGGGACATAAGAAAACTTTGGAAAATATGCCTTGATTGTGGTGGTGATTGCGTGATAATATGCATTTGTCAAAACTCATGGGACTGTACCCTTATGTGCAGAAAGAGCACACCCAATCTGAGGCTGCTATTCTTAGAAAGGCCTGCTTGCGAGCTGGGCTCTTGGCTGGTATCTGGGAACTTCGAGTTTTGGAGTCTTCTCACTATTCCCTAATTTATGAGGGTGGTTTGCTGTATCTAGACTGTTTATGCAAATAATGTGCTTTATGCTAAACATCCGCTTTCTTTCTGGAAGTTCTGGAAGTTTGGTACATGTTAGGCAAAGGTGCCTATGTGACTAGTCCCCATTTAAAATCTTGAGGACTGAGTCTTGAATGGGCTCACTGGGCGGAAAATTCACACAAATCATATTTTTAAAATATGATTTCAACTTTTATTTTAGATTCAGGGTTATTATGTAATGCTGAGTTTTGGGGTACAATTGATCCTATCACCCAGGTAGTGAGATAATACTCAATAGTTTTTAACTCTTACCTTTCTCCCTCCCTCCCCTTCCAGTAATCCCCAATGTCTATTGTTGCCATCTTTATGTCCATGAATACCCAATGTTTATCTCCCTCTTATAAATGACCACATACAGTATTTGGTTTTCTATTCCTGCATTAATTCACTTAGGATAATGACCTCCAGATGCATCCACGTTACTGCAAAGGATATTATTTCATTTATTATGTTTGTGCAGTATTCTGTGGTGTATATGTACCACATTTTTTAAATTTAATCCACTATTGATGGGTACCTAGGTTGATTCCATGTCTTTGCTATTGTGAATAGTGCTACAATGAACATACAAGTATATGTGTCTTTTTTAAACAATTTGTTTTCTTTTGGGTATGTGGCCAGTAATGGGATTGCTAGGTTAAATGGTAGCTCTGCTTTAAGTTCTTTTACAAATCTCCAAACTACTTCCCACAGTGGCTAAACTAATTTACATTCCTACCAACAGTGTATAAACATTCCCTCTTCTCTGCAGCCTCACCAGCATCTGTTGTTTTTTGATTTTTAAATAATAGCCATTCCAACAGGACACACATTGTATTGGTGTCTTAGGGCTGCTGTAACAAATCGCCACAAACTAGGTGGCTTAAAACAGATTTGCTCTCTCACAATTTTGAAGGCCAAAAGTCTAAAAGTTATTAGTAGAACTGAACTCCCTCCAGAGATTTAGGAGAGATTTCATTCCTTGCCTCTTCCAACTTCTGGTGGTTTCCCGGGCATGTGACTCTTATCGTTCCAGTCTCTGTCGCCATGATCACATTTCCTCCTCCTTTTCTCTGTGCCTGTCTCTCCCCTGTGTTTCATTGATAAGGAAAGCCCTGGGATCCCTCTGGCCCTTTCCTCCCTCCCAAATCTCTTCTTGGCTACTAGGCTGGCCTTGTGGTCAGAGTGGGTGTCAACCACCAGCTGGAAAGACCTCTGCTCTCCAGAGTCCTTTGTCATTTCCAGGTAATGCCAACAGCATTGCCACAGGAGAGAACCATTCCAGGGTCTTGGTCTTCCCTTTTCAAAATGCAAATACTTGTGAAAAAGAGGATAAAACTACATGTAGAGTGTAAGGCTTCTCTTCTGATGTGGTCCTATTTGAAAAAAGAATTGTATAATATAACACAAATGAGGTTATGGTAGCATTCTCCTGTCTGAGGGCCAGCACTATAGCTCTCCCCACCATCTCTACCAAAACAGACTCTTTGGGAATAATGAGAGTATCTTGATGGTGGAAAAGGGGCCTCAGAGAGGCTGAGGATTTTTAAAAGGCCTTTGTCTACATTGGGCATTTGTTCAGAACGAGCCTGTTTTGCTAATTTGGTTGCTGCATGCCCACTTTGGGACAAGAACAAGAGGGCTCTTCTCCAATGCATCAACTACATGATTAACAAATGAAGAAGTGAAGTTCATACTCATTGCTGGCTCTGATACCATGGCAGCAGAGGCCATCTGTAGGAGAATGTTCCACTCTAGGGGTTAGATGACCTAGATTCTATGACCTTCCACAGCCACGAACTGGCTGTTCTGTAACCTTAGCAAGTCACATTCTGCTTATGTCTCAATTTTCTTATCTGTCCATGAGACAGATAGTACCTACTCTATCCTCTCAGTAGATTTTTACAGCACTGTAACCATCACAATGATGGAACCTGCAGTAGGAATGGATGTGCCCCTTTCCCCTCCCTTTCTTACAGTCGTTCCCTGGGCAATGTGTACTTGGGTATTGGTGAGTATCTGGGACTGGTGACCAGAGAGGTCTCTTGACCAGATGCAGATGAGTGGATCAAAAAAGGATGAACTGACACAGAGTGGCAAGCTGGATAAAGAAATAAAATCAAGCAGAGTGCTGTATTCAAGAGACCCATCTCACATTCAAGGGCACACATTGACTCAAAATAAAAGGATGGAAGAAAATTTACCAAGCAAATGAGAAACAGAAAAAAGCAGGGGTTGCAATCCTAGTTTCTGACAAAATAGACTTTAAGTTAAAGATCAAAAAAGACAAAGAAGGGCATTACATACTGGTAAAGGGGTCAATTCAACAAGAAGAACTAACTATCCTAAATATATATGTACCCAATACAGGAGCACCCAGATTCATAAAACAAGTTCTTAGAGACCTACAAAGAAGCTGAGACTCCTACAAAATAATGATGGGAAACTTTAACACTCCACTGCCAATATTAGATAGAACACTAAGACAGAAAACTAACAAAGATATTCAGGACTTGAACTCAGCTCTGGACCAACTTGACATGATAGATATCTACAGATCTTTCCACCCCAGAAGAACAAAATACACATTTTTCTTGGTGCCACATGGCACTTACTCTAAAATTGATCACATAGTTAGAAGTAAATCACTCCTCAGCAAATGCAAAAGAACTGAAATCATAACAGTCTCTCAGACCACAGCACAATCAAATTAGAACTCAAAAGTAATAAACTCACCCAAAATCACACAACTAACAGAAATTGAACAGCCTGCTCCTGAATGACTCCTGGGCAAAATAAGAATTTAAGGTGGAAATCAAGAAATTATTTGAAACCAAGGAAAATAAAAACAATGTACCAGAATCTCTGGGATGCAGCTAAAGCAGTGTTAAGAGGGAAATTTATAGCAATAAATGTCCACATCAAAAAAACTAGAAAGATCTCAAATCTATATCCTAGCACCACAACTAAAATAACTAGAAAACCAAGAACAGACAAACTCCAAAGACAGCAGAGACAAGAAATAACCATGATCACAGCAGAACTGAAGAAGACAGATACAAAAAAACACTCCTCAAAAAAATCAGTGAATTCAGGAACTGGTTTTTTAAAAAAATTAATAAGATACATAGACTACTAGCTAGACTAATAAAAAAGAAAAAACAAAAGAATCAAATAGGCACAAGAAAAAATAATAGCAGGGTATCACTCCTTACCCCACAGAAACACAAACAGCCATGAGAGAATACTTTATTACTTTTTAATTTTTTAATTTTTTTTTTTTTTGAGATGGAGTTTCACTCTTGTTACGCAAGCTGGAGTGCAATGGCGCGATCTCGGCTCACCGCAATCTC